GCCTTGTTGAAGGCATAAACCAGTGACATTTCCAAAGTGTGTTGGGAACTGTGATTATTTGAGCTGTAAATCAATAACATACCTGCGCTTAATTAAATTCACAGTGGATACTGCAGGGGATGTTCCTCAAAACTGGCTGGAGTTAATGAATTCTGGATGGCTGCTGTCAGATGAACCATACAAGGGAATTACCTGGGCTCTGCTGATTTATTCCAAGTGCAGTGCTGCTCTTCCCATCTACACGTAGTGAATGTCTGCAGTTTTCTGTACTCAGTGTTTGTATGTACTCACTGTTGTAAGTATAATGACAGCAGCAGGCTCGGGTCACATTCGCATTGTGCTGTGCTCAGAGAGCTCATAGTAGTTATTTACCTGTGTAAATAAAGAAAAGCATGTGTATGTGTGTACAGATTACCTGGTTTTACACCGAAGTATCTGTTAATGTCTTTCTGACATTCAGATCCTCCAGAAACAGCTGAATCTTCATCGCTTTTTAGTGTCAGGTTCCAGAAAGGGGAAGATTGTTAGTTTTCTTTAAAGTAAGCAAATAACTTCCTTTTCCTGTCCCAAAGGTTCCTCTGTCTATAACCCCCACAAGCCTACCAGATGAACGCCAAGAGCTTGCCATGGGGAATTGATTTAAATCCAAGAGCTGGCTAAGAAACAGCACTAATTCCTGTGCGGATTACCAAATGCAAGAAGCGTGAGCAGCCTAACTGCGGAGATGGGGAGGTTTTCAGGACAAAGTGTTTGTAAATGCTGGTTTATTTCACTGTAAGATGTTTGCTTTTGCTGTTTCAATACAATGCTTAGAAAGTAGAAATCTAAGCATTGTGGAGGAGAAAAAGAGAAAAAAGGTAAGTGGAGCTAAGGAGATGTCCTCAAATACTGTTATTTCCTCTCTGTAAAGCCATTTGAGCACCACTCTGCAGGTCCTCTCATGTCTTATGAAAGATTCTTCAGCTTGAGGTGGTACTTCTGCAGGTTGTTCAGGATGTTCAAGTGCAAGTTTCCTTGTTGACTGAGCTTAGCTGTGTGTGTGCGCAGGAGAACGTGGTGGTGCAGGGAGCTCGGTGTCTGCCTTTGGGCACACAGCAAACAAGAAGCCCTCCGTGGCTCTTAGCTCATGTGCTGTGAAGCTCTTGTGCCCCTTGCTGTGCTGGAGGGCTGCCTTCCTGCTGTCACATGCTCAGAGGTGACATCTGTGCTGTCCCCTGGCTTGGAATAGGAGGGCATCTGTGTTGCAAGCTGCACTGCTCTCCTCCAGTGTTTCCCACTTTAACTGGATAAAAGCCACTGAGTGTTTGAAAGCTAATGTGTATTAGGTTGGATGTGAATGTAAAGTCAGTGAGCTCTTCTGGGATGATTCCCTTGTATAAAGGAGCCTGAAGAGAAAAGTTGGAGTTGGACAATACTGTTAACCTCAGTCTGTGGGTGACGTAGAGGAGAATGAAGTGACTTGAAGGTCACACAGGATGGGACTGTAACCTGGACCCAGACCTGAGGGTGCTGGACACGTAGACCTGGACATGATGTATTCATCTCTTAACCTTTGGAACATAGATTTTGAGGCAATCCAGCCGCTAATTCTGGTGTCTCTCCCATTGCAAACCACCACCACACATGCATTACAGTCACCTGGGGACTGATGTTATGCCTAGTCCTTGTGATGAGAAATGTCACGATGGAATAATGAAATCCTGGGTCCGTGGGGCCGGTCGCTGTGGAGATCGCCCTCCGTGGCAGCTGCAGCGTGTGTTACTGATGGAGCTGTGCCTGCTGTGCTTTCCACTACATTTGTTTCATTAATATTTTATTGTTTTAAGGAAAGAAAAAACCCCACACCAGGGAAGGTGGGAAGAGAGCCTGTTTCCTGAGCAACCGCAATGCACTTCTTTGCAGTTATTTTTGAAGGCAGGTTGCTTCATTTAAGATTTGGAAGCAATTATTGCTGCGTGGCTCCAGGCATCCGGAAAGCTGCCTTGCTTTCTTCATTTTCTTTATTTCTAATTGAAAGACAGAGCAAACCAGCAGCCGGGTTAGGAGTTGTCGTGATGGTTGCTAGACAGGATCTGTGGCTGCGATGTGAAGAACATCCCCGGGCTGGCATCACTCTTTGTTCTTCCCGTGCTGCTCTACCTGGCCTTGCAAAACCCTGTGGGCAACCGAGCAGCGCTCACCCCCGCTGCTGCTTCTGTGTTAGATACAGAGATGATCCCTCTTCCTCTGGGCAGAAACAGCCTCGCTCACAGAGATGTCATCATCAGCAGGCTCCCACTTGTGTGAGAGCACGGGCACTGCCTTTGCCACCTACAGATGTCCTTTGATTGCAGCGGATGTTTCCTGGAATAAGCTGATTGCTGAGAGGGGTCAAGCAGGGATGTGACTGTGTGTCCTGGTCCTCCTTTTGGGGAACAGTGCCATGCTCAGGCCTTTGTGCATAATAGGGATGGAAAAGCAGGGGGTGGTTGTCTTCTGAGTCAGTACTACTGGTTGGGAAGCACACCAGTGTGGGAAGCAGTGTCAGACTCTGCTCAGTAGCCTTGATGCAGCCAAGCTCATGCCCTGAGATCAGGAGCCTGCAAAGCTGAGGCCATCGCTCCATTGTTACCATACAACATCTCAGTCTGGTTTTTGCTCCTCCTGGGCTTGGACCCCTCTGGATTCAGCGCAGGCAGGACCCTCCTTGCAAACAGCAGTAAGAAACGCCAGGACAGTCATTCCATTATAGCCATGGGCCAGCTGCACAAAGCCCCGATCACGGAGGGGTTATTGGTGTTCTCCTCTTGGGGACATGATGGGCAGGAGAAACACGGTGACGTACTGTCTGTCTCTTTACTGAAGGATGGCTGCGTGTGTAGGGCTTCCCTGGCTTTATTTGAGTTGTAGCTGTTGGAGTGTTGGAAGAAGCTGGTCACAGCCCAGTGCATCATGATCCTGGCTTCTGGCCTGCCAGCAGCTTTATGTGACATTTCACATTAGGCAGCTTGAGGAGAGTACGTTTCTTGTTTCATTTTAAGATGGAGTTGCACAGTTCTCATATAGGTTGTGCAATAAGGGAACGTATCACATTATTGTGAAGAATTTGCTGTCTAAACAAATTTGGGACTAGGAAGGAGGAGAAGAGAGAATGTTGACTTCTCTATTTTACAGACAATGAATTCGGGGTATACAATTAGAAGACTTGGCTTTGCTAACTCGGGTTAGTTGTATTTCAGCAAAAATGGTTAAAAATTAACAATCCCAAATCCCCAAGCCATCAGTATTGCATTCCACTGACGGTCTCATAGGGAAATTAGGGCTGCCATGGAAATTTTATCTTCTGTCAGATTTTATCCAGTGTTACTCACCTTAAAAACCTATCTGCCTTCACAGCTGAAAGCAAAACAGTGGCACAGTTATCCCATAGCACATTTCCAATTTGCTTTTCTAGTGCTGTTTTCTACACTCCAGGAGCAAACGGTTGTGCTTTCTGAACACGCATTAGGGTAATTTGTGTAGTGAGTGATAGCAGGAAGCCAATTAGAGCTTTCTCTTTTCCAGTGTGAGAAGACACAAAACGTGAAGTTATTAATACCTCATAAATGCTGCTCCTAATGTTTTCATTAATTCAGCAGGTTGTTCAGTCTCACAAAACAAAGAAATGGGGTAGCAGTGGAGATGAAGGGGATGTTTATACTGATGCTGTTTAATGCAGACACATCCTGTGATCCCCTGACTCCATAGATTCCCAGCTGGAAAGTGTGTCTGTGCCATTCCCTGTGACTTAGGTTAATCCTCAGGGACTGAGCAGTGAGGATGGGTCTTTCTCAGGCCAGGCTTTCAGGTATTATGGGGTTCAGAGGCCATTAAGTACAGTGAGGAGGGGGAGTCTTCAGGAATTGCTCAGCACCTGACAGCATTGGGCTTAAAGAGCAACAAAACACTGCCTTCTATGAAAGCTCACTGCCGAAGCTTGGGAGAGGTGCAGCGTGTGTCAGAGCAGATGGAGGACCTTTGCAGCACGTAATATGGCAATGGTAACTGCAGCGGCGTGCAGGACTGCCTGCTGTCGTTCAACGCAGGGGAGCATCACTGCTGCTGAGCTCGAGCCCTCTGTGAGGGCTGCTGTGCCTGCGTGGGTTTCAGTGAGCGCACGCCTTGCCAGTACACTTGTTCTGCTCCCCTCCCTGTGAATGAATGGTCTGTTTCCTTCATCCCTTTTCATGGACAGTGCTGACTGGATGAGTCATCTGCAGTGGTAGGCAAGGAAAGCTTGGGGTTTATTTTGTTGTGTTAGTTGTCGTTCTCTTTTCCCTGCAGCAGTTGATACGAGAGCTGTTCAGATCTCTGATGCACAGGCCCGCCAGGCTGGAGTAGTGCAATGCAGTCTTTTCCCGGTGACCATCAAAGCGTGTTACAGTAAAGTTTGCAAAATAAACCTCGCAGGCAGACCTGTTGTGGTGGTAGGTCTGGCTGCTTCTGTGTTCCCTCTCAGGCTGCAGGAGTACTACATTTTCTTCTCAGTTCCTCGGTTTTCATTGCAAACATCAGACCACAAGTGGAGGAAATGGATGCAGCAACTCACAAAGATAAAGAGGTGCCTGTGTTCAAAACAGAGATCATCAGTAAAAGCAGATTTCTGGCTCATTCTGTCTTGAGTTCGGAGAACTGGTTCTGCCACGAGGAGTTGAGTAGAGAGTTTGCTTTTGGTTCATTTTCAGTAGAGTCAGGAACTCTTTCCCAGTGATGTGTAAAATGGGGTGAAAATAGAGGGAGATGTTCAGTCCCATGGTTCATTTGTGCACTGACATTATCTGTAACTTACCAGGTGCTTGTTGTTGCAGATTAGACACACGCTTGCTTCAGTCAATTTTGAGAACTGGTCTAGCTTTCTGTCTGCCTTCCCCCCGGCTCTGTTCTCTTCACATCTGACCAGCGGGTGTTAGCAGATGACAATCACCGAAGAGAAGAGCAAAGGACAGCAGTACCCATCACTTCTCTCCCTCCCTTTCTCGCAGGTGTGGTGGAAGCGTGTCTCCTGCACATGCTGAAGCGCAGGGCTGCCGGCTTCCTGCGCACTGACAAGGTGGCCGCTCTCTTCACCAAGGTTGGCAAGACGTATGCGGTAGCTGGGGACATATGCAAGAAAGTGCAGGACCTGCAGCAGCAGGTGGAGAGCAGGTGAGGCTGAGCTCTGCTCATCCCCAGAATTCACACAGTGTGCGTGCAGCATGGCGAGGACACAGACGCTGCCTGGTAGGTGCAAAGGGACCTGTCCTGGCCGCGTTTGTTAAAGCTTTGTCTCTTTAGGGACTGTCACTAAAAGCAGATTTTCTGGGCAGCAGATAACTGCACAGAAAGGAAGGACCATTCCCGTGTGGTTCAGAGACCACTGTGCTGAGCAGCCCCCGAGTTGTGGTTTACAGCCACCCCTGGGAGTGGTTGTGCTCTGTACAGCCAGCTTGCCACCCTGCCTCGAAAAGGCAACGTTAAGCTTCTCATTTCTGAGGTGGACCTGTTGCTGTGCTGGCTTATGCTGTAGGAACAAGCAGGGGGTCTTGGCTGTAAGCAAGCTCCCAGCTGGCTTTGGATGCTCATTTGCTATACTTCTAGTTTCTCAGTTTGATGTTGCTTATCTCTTAGTTGTCTTGTTGTTGTTCTGTAGGTGGTAGGAGATAGGCTCTCACTGCCAAGACACTAGCACAGACTGTGCTACAGCTATATATGGTGCTTAACAGAGGGAGCGAAAAGATGGGTCTGTGCCCAAGGAGTGCCTGGAGATGGTATGGCAGGAGGTCCCTAGAAAAGCTCTGCCTCTGTTATCTCCAATCCTGCTCCATGCTTCTGCCCTCAGTGTGAATCTCTCATGCTAGAACAGTTGTGTGCCTTCTTGGGGTCATGGCTAGCTTCAGCCTGAGGTACCAGACAAAGCTAGGAGACAAGAATCTTCTTTTGACCATTCTCCCTGTGGCTTTCCCAACTGAGTATGAAACTTTTTCTAATAAGAAGTGAGCTTCTGTTCGTCAAGTGCCACTTATTTTCTGCTACACTTGGCATTTTGTTGCTTTTTCATTCTTTTGAGATGTATGGTCTGCAATGTATTTACAGCCTTATTGATTTCAGCCTGTGTATTCTAACACCTCTCCACGCAGCCCTTCACTGCAGAGCTTCCTGTGAGCAGAAGAGTCTGAATTCTGACAATTTTACTTTGTCTCCTTTTGCAGGAAAAATCAACCAAATGGGCAGGAACCCCTCAAGAGGCAGGGCTCAACCACAAGCAAAACTCCTGTCCTGACACCTCAGGCCATCAAACACATATGGGTTCGGACAGCACTGATTGAGAAAGTGCTCGACAAGATTGTGCAGTATATTGTTGATAACTGCAGGTAAGGACAGAATCAGAAGCACAGGATTTTGTCAGACTGATGCGTTCAGGTATCTGCAAGAAGGGATTTAATCAAAAGTCTGTGGTGCAGACTTCTGGAGAGAACAAAACCAACTGCACAGGCCTTTAGAAGAAAGGTTTGAGTCACTGATAGTGTTTCAGCCTTACAAAAACTGTTAACAGCCATACAGCTTCCCAGAAATCAGCTGAAAAAAATAACTTGAAGTATATTAGGTGGCCAGATTCTAATGGGACCTACACCTTAGTGGAATTCTCTTACAGTAGTAGATGAAAAAGGGAAAATGAGTTTAGAGCAGGAAGAGTTACTGAATAAAACCTTAGGCGTGTTCTTGTGCATCTTTGTGACATTACTGCTCAAATGCTCCATGTTCAAGTTCTGCTCTTGAGGAAGAGAAGGTGGTTTAGAGTTTGAGCCCCATCTAGTGGAGGAGACACCAGAGGATGAGGACAGTTAAAGAAACGTGGGTGCTTTGATGTTTTGGCTCTGTGGTTTTATAAGTCAGCTTTGCCTGCTGTGATGGGAAGACTGGGGTCATTGCAAGAGCTACTGTTCCAGTAGCGCATTGTTCTTGACAGTGTTTCAAGATTCTTCCTCACAGATAGATGTTTAAGAATGTGTGCATCTCTTGGTCTCTGTGGAAAACTGACAAAATTGCTTGCAGAGAGTTATTGTTTGTCTTCATATTGCATTAGTGCCCAAAGCCCCAGATCAAATATACTGGGTAAACACATTTAGCAAAAGGCAAGCTCCTGCCTCTCAAGAGCTCAGTTCCAAAATAGGTGAGGTAGGATGAGCATTCTGAGAGGAAGTGACTCGCCTGAGGTTACACAGCTGATGAAGGGCAGAATACGGATCCAGAGTAGGGGTGGTGGTCATCTTGTTAAATATAGAAGTCTGGAGCATAGGTTTATTGAACTGATTGTTCTAGGCTCCTTTTATGCTCCGAGGAGGTCTAGTCCATGTTATCGGTATAGTATAAGAAATGTTCTAAAGCAGATGTCTAAAATGGGCTAAATTAATTTCTCCACAGCTTTCTTATATTTTAATGAACTTTAAAAATAGTTCAGAACACACCATGTTGTAAATGCCTCCTTTATCTGCAAACCCAACACGACGTTTCTTCTTTACAAGATCACTGGATGAGCCAGTCAAGCTCCATTAGAGCTTTTAGAGGAGATGCATTGCATCAGTGACTTCTAGGTAATCCTAGCAACTGCTTTTCCTCTACCCGTCAGTTCAGGAAATACAAGGGGTTTGGATCCCTTTGGACCTGTGTCAGACTATTTAAATATGTTGGGGTTTTATCACCAAATTTTATTGTTGGAAGCTTTGGAAATGCGTTCTGCTTCCATACATGCACAGCACTCCAGTCGTACAGCCCAGATCCCACTTTCAGCCTTGGTAAAACTCTTAGAACTCTGAAATCTTCCCTTTTATACAGGTAATTTAATTGTTAGAGTTTGCTCTTGAGATGAGTGTTTGGCCTCAGTTTTTGTTAAGTGTGAAGTCTGACCTGGGACGTGAGTCCATGCTTCCCCCTGCACACACCACTGACTGCTGGGGCCACAGCCAATGCTGAAGTACTTGTCAGGTTAACAGCAGCCTGGCTGGCTTCCTGCCCTTATCTCAGTGCTTCCTTTGGCACCCTCCCAGTAACACATGGTATTTTTAAAGTCAATGGACTTGTGCTACTAGGAGGCATAAGACATTTTAAAAATAGCCACCAGTGTTTTTAACTGGGTTCTGATCTTTTATTCCTAGTAAATACTATGAAAAAGAAGCTTTACTGGCAGATCCTGTCTGTGGCCCAATACTGGCTTCTCTTCTAGGTGAGTTCTTGCAAAGTTACTTCTTATGCTGAAGAAAATGTTTCTCAAAACATTTTGTATTATGATAAATAGTGGGTTTTATCCCTTGCGTGTAGTTTTAACTATTCAGAACAACATAGAAGATGATGTTTTGTTGCTTAAGAGACCAGTTGAGACCAGTCACCTGGTTTTATTATTAATTACCAGTTGGATCAGAGAACACAATGGGAAGGGCTTTTTACTGAACGCTTGCTAGCACATTGTAACTACTAATGCTCTAAAGGAATGTTTTTATACAGTCCTGGATAATAGGACCAGATATCTTATTATATGGATTGTCTGTGTTATGGGCTGATCCTGTAGGATCATTAAGTGATCATTAATAGTCACTTGGCTTGAGAAGGAAATCTCACGTTCAGTACTTGGCGAGCAGGATAAGACTTAAGCCTGTTTCTGAACAGGCTCAGAAGGTTTCTCTCTGGGTCTGTTTCCTTAGTTGGACCATGTGCTCTGGAGTACACCAAGCTGAAGACAGCAGATCACTATTGGACAGACCCTTCAGCAGATGAGCTTGTTCAGCGACACCGGATCCATGGAGTACACGGCCGCCAAGACTCTCCTTCGAAGCGCCCAGCCCTGGGAGTAGGTATTTACTGTGCAGCTATTTCTGAGTTAAGGCACATGTTGATAATAAAAACAGCCCCAGGGGGAGAGATCTGAATGTAGAGCAAGCTTTCTCTTCTCTTCTGTAATGGAGCCTTTACAGAGATTAGAAGTCCTCTTGGGCCCATTTGTCCTCTTTATCTGTATGTAGAAAAGTTTGAGATCCAGGGCTAAATTCTGTGGCTTTTGACACTTGTGATCTGACCAGGTAGTTCACGAAGAATTGTGAGTTCACTTGCTCAGGGGTGAGTAAGACTCCAGGTCATTTCTCTGCAAGGTCTCCTGGCTCCAGAAGACGTTCCACTCTACAGAGATTGGTCTAAATGGAACTGTTCCTGTTTTATTGGCCTGCTGTTACGGTCATTCCTGCCCTCCCTGATCTGCCTTGCCTCTGCCTGTGTGTGTGCTAGATCCGGAAACGACACTCAAGTGGGAGCACGTCGGAAGATCGCTTCGCGGCTTCGGCACGAGAGTACGTGGAGTCCTTGCACCAGAATTCCCGAACACACCTTTTGTATGGGAAAAACAATGTCTTAGTCCAGCCGGTGAGTACCCTGAGTTTGGGCCAATAGACACAGCTGCTGCCTGGCTGTGACTTGAGAAGTCAGTGGTATGGGTAAGGATATAACAGGCTTGTGTTTTTTCCCCCGGTATTAAATACCAGTACATTTGGTGTTAAGGTTTCCCTCAGCAGTTCTTAGATAATCCACTGCTGTGGAACTTGTGGGGCATAGGAAGACTGGAACATGACAATTAGTTGTGCGCTTGAGTCACCTGAATTGCCTGTTTGTTGCTTTTGTGAACAGAAAGATGACTTGGAGGCAATTCCTGGGTATCTCTCCCTTCATCAGTCAGCAGATAGTTTGACATTAAAATGGACTCCAAATCAGCTGATGAATGGAACCCTTGGAGATTCAGAGCTGGAGAAAAGGTATTCACTGCATTCAGAAGACTGGAAGAATTCATGGTGTTTATTCCTTGTATACTTGGCAATATGACATAAGTGTAACAAGGCTGATTTAATTGAAGCACTTGTGAATAGTGCATGAGTTGAGGTGTCACACAGCTTGGGCTCTGTTCCTGTTTTGACTCTTTCCGAAGGTCCTGTAATGCACTCAGATATAAGGGCTTTTTAAAAGGAAAACAAAAGTCTGCTTTTCCAGGTGCTCAGGAGAAAAGGCTCAACACTACCTCCCATCATTACAATCCTAGTACCTCCCTTCAGAGGGTCACAAATCACTTGGCAAGCATGGCTAATTTCAGCCTCAAAAGAGAGACATGCAGTGTCCTTGTCTTTCATTAGATCAGTCATTCACCTAATTTGGCATTCTGCTTCAGTAGAAAGCCAGGCAGGTATGTCTCCTCAGGGAATGCTGCTTCAACCACAGAACACTGCTCTTGAATGCTTCTTCCAAACCATTTCTTTTTCTACAAGCCCTCTACCCTTGCTCTTATTGCTAAACTCTGCGTGGGTTGTTCTTGGAAGGGTTCAGAGCTGTTCCCAGTGTTTAATCTGGAACCTTGAGCCCCAGTGCATTTACATGCTGCTGCCCATAAATCATGTGTGCAAGACAGAACTGAACCCGTCTGTCCTGAGACCCAGATGAGAGACCCTCACAAGCCTGTGCCCCAGGCACTTTAGTCTTAGCCAGAGCTAAGACTAGCTGGTGTGGGGCAGTGGGGAAGACAGGGAGGTGAAGGGGGAAAGGGAGGTTATGGGAAGGCTGGTCCCTTCCTTCCACTGTGGGGAACTAGTTCCTTGGCCTTTTATTTGACTACTAATTTGCCAGGTTTAATGAGAAGTTATTAACTTAGCAGAGTGTTTTATTGGGTGCTTGGAACCACAAACACTTCTGAATATGGAAAAAAATGTTTCCTGCACTTTTTCCTTCCCTCCTAGTGTTTACTGGGACTACGCATTAATGGTGCCACTCAGCCAGATCGTCTGCATTCACTGCCATCAGCAACGTAAGCATAAACCTTCTTCTCATGGGGCACTCCCAAAGCCCCTTTCTGCCAGGTGAATGTTAATGCTGCTGCCTTTTTATGTGGTGCCTGTTAGGGCTTTATTGCAAAAGGAGGCTGTTTTAGAAGGCAGTTTATGTGTGTTGTTTTAACATACATAAGCAGAGGATTGCCACTTGAGTGATTGCTTTTCCTCCCTGAGTGCCATTAACACGTCAAACTAGTTATGGATATATGGGGATGAGTGTTAAAATCTGGAATCCTACCTGGTACAGGATGACAATGGCATTGTTAATTCAAGTCCATTTGCCTCACTTTGATCAGCTTCCCCAGGACACCTTGTGCTTGTCCAGTGTTTGGCTCATGGTCAGGGGCGTCACCACTCTGCTCTGTGGCAGTTCCTTAGGGAAAGGGGATTAAATGACAGACATGAAACACGACAGCCTGTGCTGTTCTTCACTAAGAAAGCTGTTTCAGTGTTGGGTGCCAGGCATATGCACAACATGATTTTTGCTGTTTGCACAAGATGACAGACACTTGGCGGTCCTGCCCAGCACCTAGCTACCAGACTGGAACTTGCACAGCCATGCTGCAGAGTACATCCTGCTCTTGGAGGTTCCCCCTTTACCCAGGTGGCTCCAAATGCCTCATTCATTCAGTTTTGGAAAAGAAAATTAAGAACCTAATTCACTTACATTCTTTTGACAGTTGTACAAGATGCAGATCATTGTGCTTAAAGGAGTATCCAGAGCCCAGGGTGGTTTTCCTTGTTTGTTCTGAATTTCTAGTGACAGTGAAGATAGCTGAGAAAAATTTACAGCAGGGAGTGTGACTTCCCAGTCCTTACACAAGTAAAGCTGACAGCCTCTGGTTATATCCATTAGGTTGGTTTTCATTCTGAATTGTGTGTCCTTTGTCAAGTTATGTCATACACCAGAGAGTTAGTTTAGTTATTCCTTTATTATTTATTATATTAGTGTTCAGAATCACTTTAAATGCTTCTGCAAGGGGCCTGTCATATTTTGCTTGTATCTGGAGCTTCTTTAGGTCTAAAGGACTGAGATATCCCTGGATTTCTGGGGCTTACAGAGGTTTATTTATCTACTTAGAGATGGTCACAAATAAAATTTACTTAGAAGGTAAGAGCAGAAAATCAAGGTTCTGATGTAACAGTGTGGACTCCCCTTGTCCTCCTTTGCAGCAGAAAGCAGATGGACATTAGTCTTGGTGAGTCAGGATGGAACCCAGAGACCTCCACTGCACTTCCCCCAAGGAGGTCACCTCCTCGCATTCCTTTCCTGTCTGGAGAATGGTCTTCTGCCTCGTGGCCAGCTGGAACCACCACTGTGGTCCCAACAGGGCAAGGTACTGCCTTTTCTGATGAGCTGCTTCTAGTATATAGGGCTGATCTTAATGTCTCTGTTCAACCATCATCATCCCGCTCCTCAGAGTCCAGGCATTGATTTCCAGCTGCTTTATGGTAAAGAGAGAGGCAAAATAACCCTATTTAGTCCAATTTGATTCTTATACAGATAGTGTATAAGAATTGTTCATACCTTCGTTGCCCCATTGAGCAATGAACTCAAATCTGCTATTGTATTAAAATATGAACCCAAACAGTAAAGGACTCGGACCCAAACAGACTGGGTCATACCTCCTGTCAGAGGTTTGGGTTATTGAAGAAGCTGGTGCCCAACTTACATGGATTACAAGAAAAAACTGTTTCATTACACAGAAAGTACTGTTAAGTACCCCTAAACCACCTGCTGTGTATGATTCTACTGTTGTTTTCTCCCTCACCTCCTCCCAACATTGAAGTTTAGTTTTAAGATGCCAGAGGTCTGAAGTACTTAGTTTGTTGTGCTCTGTTAAGTCTTTCATAGCTGAATGTCTGGAATTGTTATTCTCTCTAGGGTAAAGTATTTCCAAAGCTTCGAAAGCGGAACAGCAACAGATCAGTGGACCTGGAGGAGACCGCAGCCGAAGACACTTGTACAGACTATGTGTTCAGAATTATCTATCCAGGACACAAGCATGATAACAGTAAGTGCCTTTGTTGTGCTTTCTTAAAAACCAACCAACCCACCAAACAAAAACCCAAACCAAATCAAAACCCTAAGACCATTTTGAATCCTATCCTGGGAAGTAACTGAAGGGAACAGACAAGCCAGGGTATGGGGAAAACAAAACCCTATCACTGAATTTCACTGGGTGATAATTGTGATCAGCAGGTACAGCTTATTGTAGGTGTCCTTAATGCAGTGAAACTTGTTCTCTTAGAAGATATTTACTCTGTGTTTTGCAGAGGAAGGTTTCAAAATGCTCCCCTGGGCTTGCAAACTGAGACTAAAAGCGAAAGGATTGCTTGACTAGCCAAGAGCAGCTTTGCTCCCGAAGTGAGGATATTTTTATTGGCCACACTGCTTGCTCATAATGTTGTTATTAAAAAAAACCCCATAAACTCATCTCTTAAAGTGCCCCAAGAACTCCCTGGGCTAAGTTTTCCTGGCTTTAGAAGCAAGAACTTAACAATGAATAAATAAAAGCCTTCCAAGGAAACTAAATGAATTCCCAAGCACCAAACCACCTCATGTCATCAGTGAATACAAATTCCTTACATGCAAGAGACATTTGAGCTAGTTTTCAAACAGCATGTTCAATTTTAGTCCCCCTGGCAAAGAAGCAAGAATTACCCAGGAGATCAGACCCTAAAGCTTACAGGGAAATTGGATTTACTGCTCATATTGGGACTTACTGGAAAAGCAGGAAT